AAAAACAGTTTTACATTTTATACATTAGAACTCACATATCCTGTAGTTTATAATATTAAAAACAGTTTTACATTTTATACATTAGAACTCACATATACTATGGTTAATAATATTAAGAAGAGTACTTTAAGGTATGTCTTATTAACAACATAACCTTTTACACCTCTATCCGAGAACCGATGAGGACGATATAGTCGGTTTTCTAACTCACAATTTACCATATTTGCACTGCAGCATAAATTCACAAGTTGTTAGAGAAATCATTTATGAAAATAATTATAGATATTTAGCTGGACAAATAAGGATATCTCATTCATACTTTATCAGACAAAAGATACCGTTTTGAACCTGACAAGCTACTTATCATAATCTAAAAAAACTGTTTACGATTCCATTTTTCCGTTCATTGAAATAAATTTGATTTGCTTTACAATTATCAAATAAAGGAATGATGAAATAGTTAAATAGATGATTAATTCATAAATAATTAATTTATAATGTACATACAAATTATACAAAGGATTGATCAAATAATAACACATTTCTTATAACCTTTGAAATGATTAAAGGGGATAAGTGACGAACTGGGCGGGGGGGGGGGGGGGGGGGGTAGTATAACCCTGCAGTGCAGCGGTCACTAGTCAGGTAATGAGCCAGTTGACCTGCAATCTGGAGAAAACCAGTTCACCCCCCCCCCTCTCTCCGTGGATATCTCACCCCCCTCCCCTGTGTGAGCCCGACTCTGGACGTCACCTATAAAACCAAAACAATTTGACTTTTTCTCAGTCTTCCTCCTGCCCTTCGTGATAAAGAATGTTCTCAGTTGTGTTATAAACATTGAAAGGATTTGAAAGAAGTGTTCATTCCTTTATAAAAAGCTGTTTTTTTTTGGTATGCAACAATTTTCATTTAATCCCGCCGGGATATTTTCATTGAAAGATACTTTGAAAATCTACAAAGGCAAAAAAAAATTCGCAAGCCCTCGGGTTTATCATTGAATCCCCTCTTTAAAAAGGAATGTCATTTTCTCTCAGACAAATTAGAATTAATGGAAATTTGTCTGAGAGTAAATGATACATTTCAGTTCTTTGCCACCCCCTTACAGTCACCTCCAGTTTATTTGAAATTTCTCTTGTAAAACTGAGCAAAACCTAACAAAATTTTCTCTTCGTGTTTGTGTGCTAATTAGGGTTTCAAATAGGAATTCCGTTTCGCGCAACTGCAGCGGAATTGCGCGTCGAGTTTACAGGGCAGCAATGGCGCGCAAGTAAAATTCACTTGCTTTGGAAAACCCTTGTGCTTATTAATTTATGATATTATATGTTAAATACAATTTTCTTACATTAATCTTACAAATTTTTAGATAATAATTGTGTGATGAAAATGAGAGAATGGAGCGTTGGAAACTGGAAAGGGTAACCTGTAAGGTATTTAACAACAATATTAAAGTAATGTTAGTAATATTACAAAATTTTACCATTTTCTATTGCTTCTATCTTGATTAAATCCTCACGATGGAGTTTATTTGATTAAGAACTTGTAGATTGTAATGACCTAAAAGTAAATATGAATTTGATAAGGCATGAAAAATGAAAACTACTTAAATTTCGCAACAATTATCTCATTTATTTTTAACATGCAGAACTCAACATTTTCCACAATTACTCAAATTTTCTAATTTCTAGCTCTGCAACCAAATGTCGCAACCTTTGAAGAAAACTGCGTTCGGATGGATCAAATAGTCTAAGTTTAATTATCATAGGTTTATACTAACTGGTTTGCAAAGATATAGGGAGGGACTATTGTGACAAAAACTTTAAAGAAAAGATAGGAATAGCGGTGAATACAATTTTTTCTTGTATTTTAGGAAAACTATGAATTGGTAAAGACACAAACTGCAATCCCTCTATCTAACAATCTCCAATACGATTAGATCAATTGATACTGTTCTATTCAAAAAGAAAAAACATGTGATAAAAAGAAAAAAACACGTGAAAAAAGAAAAACATGTGATAAAAAGAAAAACATGTGATAAAAAGAAAAACATGTGAAAAAAAGAAGAACATGTGATAAAAAGAAAAACATGTGAAAAAAAGAAAAACACGTGAAAACAAGAATTCCAACGAAGACTTTAAGGTAATAAAATAACATTTTACACTTTTTAAGCTTCCTTTTTTTTACTAAAGATAAGAAAAGCAGTTTGTACTGCGTTTTTTATCCTATGTTTGTGGTTTATTAAATGTGGTCACTATAAATATGTTAACAAGAGTCAAATCCTATCATTTTTGTAAATATTATCAGTTTAAAGTATATTCAATTCACATTAGTTTAAAACTTTTAATAGTCCTGGGACCGAATTTAATGAATTGGCGAGGTCGCTGAACTACCTAAAGTCGGTTCAAATCCTCCTGAATCTTTAATTTTGAATCGGTGAGTTAAGATTTGAACCGGAGGTATATGTAGTTTAGCGACGAAGCTCAAATTAATTAAATTCGTTCACTGGTCTTTTATTTGCAAAACTGTTCCTTTTTTTCAGGATCTGATAACCACAAACTTTAACAACCAAGCCTTCGATTTCGACCAAAAACCAGGAAACTTTTTTTTTAAACCGGAAACAGATTTGTGAAACCAGGAACAGGCTTGTGAAACTAGAAACCAGCGCCTCTAAAATCAAAAACTCTTATCTGAAACCAGGATCCCTGACGTGCTTTGATCATTTTTTCTGTAGAAACAGTTAAAGAAAACCAAACCTTTAAAAGAACCTTTGAAATCAAGACACAGGTTTATGAACCCAAGAAACCAAAGATTCAAAAATGAAAGAAATTTGGAGAACTCACAAACATCCCTGGTAAGTGTTAACATTTATTTTTAGACAAATAACCAGAGGCGTATTCAGGGGGGGGGCTATGAGGGCTCAGTCCCCACCCCCCTCCGGAATCAGTGCATGCATAAACGGTTTTCTGGGGATTTTCGGGCCACCCCCTGGACAAATTCCTGAATACGCTTCTGCAAATAACCAGCATTTTCAATTAATATAAATGAATATTTTACATATTTATGAACTTACGTAGATTGGATAGCAAATGGACAGTACAGAAAATCCAGCTTGGGATGTCGTGAACATTTGTTTTCTGTCGATTTGCTGTCAAAATACCCTCATGTATCTATAATGTTTAATTACAAAGGTTTGGATTTGGAGGGTTTCCTGAAGTTTTAAATGAAAATATTTCCGGAGACTGTGATCTGATTCATAATTTAGACTGGAAGGACAGGTAACAATCAAGCAGTGCTTAAGGCATAGTTTATTATAATTAAAGGTACTGTCTGCGTAGGTTCTAGTGAAGTTCCATCCATTAAAACTTACATTTTAATACCCTTTAAACCTTTTGTTTGACTATAGAAGTGTTAGAGTTATATCTTTAATTTCAATTGCAGTACTTTATAACTGTGACTTTAAAACTCATTCAGGTCAGGAAAAAATTGAGAGAATTTCTTTCTTTCAAAGATCGAAAATATTCCATATCTTTATTTTTATTTATAGAAAATTCTGTGAATCGGCCATACATTGCTTTTAAATAAAAGGTCCTTTATATTACATCGTCAGCTCCTATAAGTCAGGATCTCAGCAAGCAACTACCTGACTTCAGTGCAGTTTAGAATTTTCGATTAGATAAAGATAAAATTTCGTATAAGTAGGGAATATTTCTCATTCATAGAACATTCCTTTTCTAGATGTGATTTTGTTCTGCACAATGAGAACTGTCTAGATGTGGACGGATTTATCAATTACATCAGGTATGGTGTAGATACAGTGTGTCTCACTAAACATAAGGTAGATACAGTGTGTCCCACTAAACATAAGGTAGATACAGTGTGTCCCATTAAACATGATGTAGATACAGTGTGTCCCATTAAACATGATGAGGTAGATACAGTGTGTCCCACTAAACATGACCAGGAAGATACAGTGTGTCCCACTAAAAATGACCAGGTAGATACAGTGTGTCCTACTAAGCATGAGGTAGATACATCGTATCCCACTAAACATGACCAGGTAGATACAGTGTGTCCCAAATAACATGAGGTGGATACAGTGTGTCCCATTGAACATTAGATAGATATAGTGTGTCCCACTAAACTTGAACAGGTAGATACAATATGTCCCACTAAACATGCTTAGGTAGATACAGTGTGTCCCACTAAACATGCTCAGATAGATACAGTGTGTCCCAAATAACATGAGGTAGATACAGTGTGTCCCACTGAACATGAGATAGATACAGTGTGTCCCACTATACATGAACAGGTAGATACAATATGTCCCACTAAACATGCTCAGGTAAATACAGTGTGTCTCATGAGCTATAGATCAAATATGAAACATTCTACAAGGTGTCAAATGGTATATTTATTTTTCAAATAAGACTGCTGTGTTCGTCATATTTATATGAACACAATGAATAAATATGTATATTCTTACTTTCCTTCTAATTAGAGTTTTAATAAATTCTCAGGGAGTTTCAGCTTTGATGAATATTTTGATAAGGAATGTTAATTAACCCACTATATAACATATTTTTCAATTCAATAAAGTATGCCTGCAAACCCAAAAAATACAAAAAATTGTTAAACTAAACTTTCCATAGAAAGTAAACCGAGTTGTTTTCTGGGTTTTATTAAATTTTACAAAGATCATGTGTAGCTTATCATGCAATCATATCTGGGTCTATTCTATGCTTTCCGCACTTTAAAGTTAATTTGAGAACACGTGAAAACTTCAAATTGTTAGAAATGTTACCAGGCGTACAGATTAACTAATTACGGATAGTTTTCTCTCTACTTAACTTTGCTCAAAGTAGAAATATGGTTCGACTATCCGTGCAGACTTAAACATACTTTTTAATATTTATTAACCCCTACCTCTGGTTGTTTATATGATATGTTTCAGTGCACTGTACTGCAATTTTGGAGAGCATTTGTTCCCCCTGGGCCTTGTTTTGTACCTGGTCTGGCTGGTCTTGCTATTTATTGCTTTAGCGGTCAGCGCAGACGATTTCTTTTGCCCGGCCATTCAGGTCATCTCTACAACACTGAGGTGAAAATTAATAGAACAAAAAAATTTGGAAAAAATGCAATTTGAAAATAACACTTTGAATAAGACTAAGATTAAGCTAAAAATAACATTAAGGCCTAAATGTCTAAAATTCACAGAATATTGCTTGTGTGTCAAAATAAGTTAAAAATAAAGAATACATATTAAATCAAGATTAAATAGTCTCTGCCGATTCTCTCCGAATATCAAAATATGAAATATGAAAAATTAAATAAAAATTTAAAAATAAAAACAATCAACTAATGTTTTTTTTTCTCTAAAGTTGTAGTTTTCTTTATTTGAGAAGTGATGTTAAACCTTGATAGATTCTATATAATTATTCAATATTATTTTGCTGCAGATTGTCCCAGAATATCGCTGGAGTGACTATAATGGCTCTAGGCAACGGAGCTCCGGATATATTTTCATCTTTAGCTGGTATATCTGCAGCCAGGCCAGAGCTAGGTAACATTTTCTCCATTATAATGAACTTGACCATTTTGATGGTCATGTTCAAAATTATTGTAATGCTAATGTTGTTGATGTTGTTGATGGTGCTGATGGTGTTGATATTATTGATCACTAATTATTTATCGAAATAAGTAATTAACCAAATGACCTCAATCATCTATCTATTAGTATTTGGTGAGCTGTTCGGTGCTGGTGTGTTTGTAACCACAGTAGTAGCTGGTTCTGTAGCAATTACAAAACCATTTAAGGTAAATCATATAAAAAATGTTATGCTTATAATTTCTCTTACAATGTTCCTTACAAAAAAACATGAAACAAAAAAATGGAAAAAGGCAAAATCTAACAATTTAACAATTTTAACTTTTTTCTTAACCTTGCTAAAAAATATAATGAGATAGAAAATGAAAAATACCAATTTGACAGTTTATTCCATGCTTACAATTTATTTTTCCTTTTCTTTGACTTAACTTAAACACGCTATAACAGCTTTTTAAGTAAAGCGATATTTTCTATTTATTCCTTTTTACAATGCCTACAGATTCTTTGGCCTGTTGTTTGTTCAGAAAGATGAGACAAAAACTAAAAATCAATTTTAAAAAATTAAAATATTTTTATTATTTATCATTTTTACACATTCTTGTATAAAGGTGATGGAGAGACCTTTTCTGCGTGATGTTAGTTTCTACCTGATGGCAGGGTTTTGGGCTTTCTATATATTCTGGAGACAAGAAATCAGGTTTTTCCCTTTTAATTAGTATTGTTTATCTAGGGGCTGTCTGATATATTCTGTTCGAGGAGATCTGCAGAAAACATTACAATTTAAAGGGACTGTCCTTGTAATTTCAAGTAATATACAATTTAAAGAGGGACTGTTCTTGTAATATCAATTAATATACAATTTAAAGAGACTGTCCTTGTAATTTCAAGTAATATACAATTTAAAGGGACTGTTCTTGTAATTTCAAGTAATATACAATTTAAAGGACTGTCCTTGTAATTTCAAGTAATATACAATTTAAAGGGACTCTCCTTGTAATTTCAAGTAATATACAATTTAAAGGACTGTCCTTGTAATTTCAAGTAATATACAATTTAAAGGGACTGTTCTTGTAATATCAATTAAAATACAATTTAACGGGACTGTCCTTGTAATTTCAAGTAATATACAATTTAATGGGACTGTTCTTGTAATTTCAAGTAATATACAATTTAAAGGGACTGTTCTTGTAATTTCAAGTAATATACAATTTAAAGGGACTGTTCTTGAAATATCAAGTAATATACAATTTAAAGGGACTGTTCTTGTAATTTCAAGTAATATACAATTTAAAGGGACTGTCCTTGAAATATCAAATAATAAACAATTTAAAGGGACTGTTCTTGTAATTTCAAATAATATACAATTTAAAGGGACTGTTCTTGTAATATCAAGTAATATACAATTTAAAGGGACTGTCCTTGTAATTTCAAGTAATATACAATTTAAAGGGGCTGTTCTTGTAATATCAATTAATATACAATTTAAAGGGACTGTCCTTGTAATTTCAAGTAATATACAATTTAAAGGACTGTCCTTGTAATTTCAAGTAATATACAATTTAAAGGGACTGTCCTTGTAATTTCAAGTAATATACAATTTAAAGGGACTGTCCTTGTAATATCAAGTAATATACAATTTAAAGGGACTGTCCTTGTAATTTCAAGTAATATACAATTTAAAGGGACTGTTCTTGTAATTTCAAGTAATATACAATTTGAAGGGACTGTCCTTGTAATATCTAGTAATATACAATATAAAAGGACTGTTCTTGTAATATCAAGTAATATACAATTTAAAGGGACTGTCCTTTTAATATCAAGTAATATACAATATAAAGGGACTGTTCTTGTAATATCAAGTAATATACAATTTAAAGGGACTATCCTTGTAATTTCAAGTAATATATAATTTAAAGAGGGACTGTCCTTGTAATATCAAGTAATATACCATTTAAAGGGACTGTCCTTATAATTTCAAGTAATATACAATTTAAAGGGACTGTCCTTATAATTTCAAGTAATATACAATTTAAAGGGACTGTTCTTGTAATTTCAAGTAATATACAATTTAAAGGGACTGTCCTTGTAATATCAAGTAATATACAATTTAAAGGGACTGTCCTTGTAATATCAAGTAATATACAATTTAAAGGGACTGTTCTTGTAATATCAAGTAATATACAATTTAAAGGGACTGTTCTTGTAATATCAAGTAATATACAATATAAAGGGACTGTTCTTGTAATTTCAAGTAATATACAATTTAAAGGGACTGTCCTTGTAATTTCAAGTAATATACAATTTAAAGGGACTGTTCTTGTAATTTCAAGTAATATACAATTTAAAGGGACTGTTCTTGTAATATCAATTAATATACAATTTAAAGAGGGACATGCTCGATTCACAACAGGATCCCCTTGAAATCAATGTCTGATCACTAATGTGGAAGAAAATGTCGTTTTTTAAGCTTAATGTGTTTAATTAGGACAATTTCTGCATTGTTTTCCGGCAGCAGAAACTATAATTGAAAGTAATGATTAAAAAAAATATGCATAAACATGGATATTCATACTTAATCAGACAAAGCATATAAAGGACTGGTTCTGAATCGAAAATGCCAATTAACAAATTGAGGGTCACTTGATATCAAGTTATTTGTCCCTTTAAGGACAAGTCCAAGTATATGATATTAAATAATCATTCCATTTTTTAGACTTGGAGATGCGCTGGGATTTTTGGCCTTGTACATAGTGTATATAGCAGTTGTTATTATAGGACGATATATACACTCTAAAACTCGCACTACAGAACCATATTACAGTGTGCAGGTATTATACACATTTTCAAATATGTATAAAGTCATCAGAAAATGTGAAAGATTTAACAAAAAACTAAAAGTACATTTAGAAAAGAGAATTTAGAATGGGAAAAAATGATTTTTACATTAATGACTATGTATTGTGCAGCTTTCATGAAACTTTTTTATGGAAGAAGCGTGCATTTTATTTGAATATTTTTAAAATGTGAGAATCAGGACCAGAAACTAAAAAGGTTCATGAATCCCTAAGAGTATTAAACAACCAGAGATAGATTTAATAAACTTGAAAGAACATAAAAAAATTGTTTTGTCAATTATTTTGTAAAAAAAGAATTTAGAACTGATATCATTATTAACGTGTTTATATAGCGATGAAGACATTTTTTGTTACTTTTTAGACGAACGAGGTGGACGAGCAGATAGTTCCAACTCATAGAGAGGTTCGGATACTTACTCATCCTTTATCTACAGGTTTACATACTTACTCATTTTTTAACCTCAGGTTTATATACTTACTCATCCTTTATCTACAGGTTTATATACTTACTCATCCTTTACCTACAGGTTTATATACTTACTCATACTTAAACTACAGGTTTATATACTTACTCATCCTTTATCTATCTAACCCCATTCGTAAAAACCCGTGTTTTAAAAATGTTTTCATAGCGATACCAGCTGTATTAAGTTTTTGGCTCTGAGATCAGATTACTACTGAGAACCAGGCTGGATTGCCAGCTAAACTACATCCTGTATATTGTACTGCAGGGAACCCGCCTGAGATTAGATTACTACTGGAGAACCAGGCTGGATTACCAGTTAAACTACAGCTGAGACGATTCTATAAAGCAATAAACCCGATAGACAGGAAAACCAGAGATTAATGCTATGTTTAAACTTTCACTTTGTAAAAAAAAATTTCCATCGTCTTTTCATTTCAATAAAAAAAGATTCTCAAATATCCAAATTTTTTATTGAGAAAATCTGGGAACCAACAATTTTGTAATAACCTATTGTGTGCTTTATCATTCATGCTCACTTCATGGTTAATTTCATAATGTATAGTGCTATACTGTAATCAGCATGCTATATTCTTAAAGGAATCTTTATTTTAGCAACACAATGTCAAAGCAGTTAGATACTTCAAACTATGAATTCTGATGATCAAACACTCCCTTTAAAACATCAAAAGTTAACATACCATCTGATTGAAAAAATACATTCACTCAAAAATTTGATATTGTAGCAAAAACTCAACCTTGGCTGTATATTTTAGCACTGAGCTATAAAGTTTTGCTGGTTCCTGACTTTAAAAAATCTGGATATTTCTAGAATAACTTTTTTCATTTAAATGTAAAGAAAATGGGAATTACCTTATTCTATAAATGCTTTGACGAAAAGCTCATTACATATTAAATCTAGAAATGACAATTCTATAAAACTAAATCTAAAACTACAGAAGCATTTCTGAACACTACTAATAAAATCCAAGAAAAAGTGTTTTAAATAATAATTTTTATCGTTTCGAAATTTAAAAAGAAATACCTGAATAAAAAGTAATTTGATCTCTCTGGTTTAGGATTGAATGGGAAGATAATAATTGGTTTTGGAAATCATACTTTCTTCTAAAATCTCCTTTAGATTTCATTTTTAGACTTACTATTCCAAGGTAAAAAATTAAGTACGTGGTTTTAGGGTGCTTTGTTAAAGTTAAAGGTAAATGTTATTTTACTAGCTGCAGCCCTTTTTTCAGTTTACACAGTTAAATATTTTTCTTCCTATATTAATGAGTTTTTAAGGTTACATAAATATTATTATTTTTTATTTACATTGTTTTTTGAAATATGAAGTCTTAAAAAAGTATATTTTTAATCAATAATTAATAAACATTTTTAATTTTTTGCGTTAATTTAAAAACTTTAAGTTGTTATTTTTGATTTATCTAAATAAACTGATATATATGCGATGTTACTGTACACTGTACAGAGCTAAAAATTTGACGGATAATTATACAGACGAACATGTTTTAAGAATTAAGATCCGTTGAAGTTTTTATTTCAAGTTTTCTAAAATAAAGGCATAATTAAGATGAATTTATCTTTAATCCAGGGTCAGTCCTGAGAATGCGGATGAGAGTTGGTGTCAGATTCTTGTTCTTATTCAATGCTTCCTTACTCCTCTCTTTACAGCTCTTGCAACCTCTACAGCTCTAGGTATAGAAAATAGTTCTCTTGAATTAAACATTAATCTGATTTTCTTATCTCAATATTTGTGCAACCTGATGTCATATTTTAAATTATTTTATCTAGCAGAAATCTATATTTTGACATGTATAAGATGAAAAAAAGGAATGAAAATTCGAATTTTTGGCAAGTGTTCAGTTCCTATATTTTTAAAGATAAGTGGATATACATTTACTATGACTGAGTTGGGTAGCACTTCCCGCATAGAACAAACGACCCTGTTTTAGAGTCTGAAAACGACCCGCACGACCCCAAAAACTGGCGCCGGTCCGACTCTGTTTTAGTACTAATAAAAGAGTCGTTTTTAGACCGAAAAGACCCTGAATCCGTCTCTCCTCAAAACGGATGGGTGTCGGTTTACTTCACGGCAGGGGGCCATTATCTCCCTCAAGATTTATTACTTTGGCGCCATATGTCTGCATCTGCAAGC